TACTGGAGTGATAAAAACCAATACAACACTCTTGGCGGGAGGACTGGGTTTGACAAACAAGAGACCAAGTTACCGACCTATTCGAACACACCTTTCTCCAAGATCTGTCTCGGTATGAAGATAAGTGGACAGCTCAGGTTTATTGTCATTAACAAGCAGGCCAACTCTCTGTACTCTCTGATTGCTGATGGGAGATACCGCGCTACTTCACTAGGTCGTAACGAGTGGAAGAAGTTGATTGGTGCGGAGGGCTCTTTGCAACTGCGCTGTAACAAGGAGGGCTTCAATGCTGTAAGTACCGTAAGTGATCATTCTAAAGCAAGAGTTGGTTATATAGCTAACGATGCAAACGATTGTGGCTCTTGTGACTCCAGAATTGGGTTTGGTACCGGAGGACGTCCTGATAACTCCAATACGTGTGGAAACGTAGTAGCGCATTCCCCAGATAACGGTGACAGAAATATTAAAGCTATGGGATATATTTTGGTGCAGTAAACTCTTTCAATCCATGTATGACCTTAGAAAACTCACGAAGAATGGGGGAGGGGAAGTGGGTTACTGAAAAAAGCTCTTTTCCATTTATCCATAGCAATATATAGTCTGCTTAGCAAGTTTTCACTTTATCGTTTGAGGGTAGGGAGAGGGGACCTTCGGCTCGTGATTTACAAACTTCTCTTCTTCCTTCAACATCCCACGTGAGTTATTAAGCCAGTAAACTGATAGAAAGTGTGCTCTATTGCTTAATTATTACTAATCGCTATTACTACTAATAATTATTATTAATCATTATTAGTTATAAAGATTTGCAAACTAGCCCTGAATACAAGTATAAAATCATTTATAAGACTTTAAGTATGTCTAACACCAGGTCTGTACAAAAAAATACGTCCGATATAAAAACTTTATTGTACTACAATTTCTACACAACAGCTTGAAAAAGTGCGTATGATAATTTGATAGCAATAGCTATAAAATAAATGAAAAACAAATGAGTAATGGGCAAAATAATATTTGAATAAGAATTAATAAAAAAAAAAGAGGGGCGCCGAGACACCATATTAGAAACGCCACAGTAAGACAATACAACCAGAATTAAGATTTCTAATTCAAACTCATAATTATGTAAAACTTTTGCAATTAGAAGAGTTACAATATAATGGGGTAATCTTGGAATTGAAGGTTCACTGTTCCAAATGTA